AGCACCACATGGGGTCAGTCTAATAAGGTGACCTAAATTGTCATTCCTGAAGGCTCTGGGTCATTTGTAATCCTGCCTGAATTTCACTTTAATCACTTGGGGCACACTGTGGCTCCATCTAATAAACATTGGACTGCGAACTATAACGTCAGCAGTTAGAGCTCACTAGCCTCTCTTCGGGAGAAAGATGAAGCTTCCTGCTCCCACAAAGATTTAAAGCCTCAGAAACCCTATACAGGGTCACTATGAGTTGGAAACGACTCAGTGGTACTTAATAACAACAACAACCAGTGGTCACAGCAGTGATGATGCTAGTGAATGTGAGTGAATGGAGATGGAGGCTTGCACTGATGAGTAGGAAGGGAAAACCAGCATTTGTGGATTGTCTTGTACATTCCTGCTACTCTGCCAGCTTGCCATACAGACTGTCTGCACTCAGGATCCATCTCTCATTTACAAGCTGGATAAACATGGGCAAAGTACTTAAATGGGAATAATAACATGCACATTGTTGTTTTTGTTAAGTGTCATCTAGTCAGTACTGACTCACATGGACCCTGTATAGGGTGGGTTTGAACCACCAACCTTATGGTTAGCAGTCCAGTGCTTACCTGTAGCACCGCACCAGGGACTTTACCATGTTGAAGGCTTAATTTGTGAAGTATTAGGATAGTGTATGGCACAAAATTTGTTGTCGTTGTTGTATGCTGTTGAGTCGATTCCGACTCATAGCTTACCTGCATATGATTTTGGAGATGTGGCTGGTGAGTTTGAACTACCAACTTTGTGGTTAGCAGTCCAGTGCTTATCCTACAGCACCACACCACAATTCCTTGGCACAAAATAAATCATTGTTATTTTAAGCAGAAACTTCATGTCTCTGTGTATATAAGAGGGGCAGAGCCAGCTAGCCAGACAGACTCAGAAAAAGGGAAGAAAGAGGGAAAGAGAAAGGGGTGGGGTGGGGGGGAGGGGGTGGCTTCTGTCAAGTAGGTATAGGTTGTGTGTAAAATCTGAAAACTGTTGGTCCAATTAACATTACCTCTTTTTTTTTTTTTTTTAACAACAACAAAAAGCTTTTTCTTGTGAATTGAGTGAAAGTAAACAGACAAGATCATCAACTTTACTTTCAACCAATCATACATACATTGTGTTTCATCTCAATGATTACATGTTCCTCCCTGTAACAACAGTTATCCTGTGGCTCCCCTTTTACATTTTATTTTTCACAAATGAACAAAGCAAAAATATAGGATGTATACATACAAAACAAAAAAAAATATATTCATTTAAATGTCCAAAGGGCACATTTTGCCTGCCTGCAGGCACACAGGGTTTCTCAGTCCATGGGCCCAGAGTCCTCAGCTGCTCCGTCTCTCCATGCCATTGCCTCTACCACCATCTCTGCTGTTGCTGCTTTTCTAGGTAGGATCTCACACTCCACTCATGCTCTTCCTTCTTAATGGTCCTGAAATGAGTGATTAACTACTCCCCACTTTTATTAATATTACCTCTTGACTTTTCACTCATTTAAGAATTCTTATATCAGTAATTAATTTCTGTCCCCCAGATTTGTGTGGATTGGAAACCTCTATCGACTAAGAAAATTAGAGTAAAACTATATTTAGATTTTTAAATGTTTAGAGGATATTAAATTGAATGTAACCTCCACATGGCTCTAGGGGCTAATGATGAAAAACAGAAGAGGATAACTCAGAAACCCTATACAGAGTTGCTATGAGTTGGAATCAGCTCGAAGGCACTTAACAACAAACAACAACAATGAAGCAAAGATATGCTTTGAACAAATAATCAGAGAGCCTGGTTTCTACTGAGTGTTTGTTGTGGCATTTAATCTCCTGACAGCCCAAATGGTGGGTATGCCCCTTTTGCAGATGAGTCAGTTGAGGCTCAGAGAGGGTGAATATTTTACTCCAACATGCCTGGCAGGTAGTGAGTGACAGATTCAAGATTTGACTTTAAAGATGTGGGGAAAGGAAGTAAAGGAGAAGGGGAAATTGAAGGTCTAGAAGTAGAGGAAGAGATGAAAGTCATATAAGGGGACTGACCTCTCAGGTGGACACCTTTTGATACCTTAACAGAACAGAAAAGATCTAAGATGCTCACCCTCACCTCTGGGTCTCCCGTTGGCAAGAATACATCAGATTGCTAATCACTGCTTGGTGGTGGTGGCATGCTGTGGAGTGGGTTCCAACTCTCAGTGACCTTGCATAGGGTTCCCGAGGCTGTAAATCTTTATGGGAGCAGAAAGTCTCATCTTTCTCTTTTGGAACATCTGGTAGTTTCAAATAGCTAGATGAGCTAACTGTAGTTGTTAAACAGCAAAACAAAAGAACAACACACTGCCATTAAGTGGATTCTGGCTCACAGCAACCTTCTAGGGTGTGGATCTGCTCCATAGGATTTTTGAGACTGCCTCATCTTTCTTCTGTAAAGCTGCTGGTGGACTTGAACTGTGGACTTTGCAATTAGCAGACCAGTGTTAATTCATTGTGCCACCGAGGTTCCTTAATTATTGCTGTAAGGGGCTGTCAAGTAGACTCATACGTACTCCATATAACTGAGTAGAACTGCCCCATAGGGCTTTCTAGGTTGAGATCTTCATGGGTGCAGATCCCCAGGCCCAACCACCAACCTTATTGGTCAGCAATGGAGCACTTAACTGTTTATGCCACTACAGCTTCCCAGAAAATGCAACTCCGTTTGACAACTGCCCTAGCTTCCTAGTGTTGCTCTAACATAAGTATCCCAAGTGGGTGGCTTAAAAAAAACCCAGAAACTTATTTTCTCATAGTTCAGAGGCTTGTTGTTGTTGTTGTTTAGTGCCATTGAGTGGTTCCGACCCACAGAGACTCTGTATGGGGTTTCCAAGGAGTGGCTGATGAGTTTGAACTGCTGACCTTGCTGTTTGAACCGACCTTGCGGTGCAGTGTTTTATCTCACAGCACCGCAGTCCAAATTTAGGGCAAGGCTCAATGGCAAGGTTCTCATTCTGTTGGCTATAGAGGAAGAAACTTGTCTCTTCCAGAATTCTTGGGTTCCTGGGTGAGCTTCATGTGGCAGCTCTTTTCCCTTGTGGGTGCTTGAAGGTCTCTATCTATGCTGTTCCTTGTCACTCAGAAGTCATTAGACTTAGGACACAACCTACATTGTCACAGCCTCATTAACACAACAAAACAAACCCTGTTCCCAAAGGGGAATGTATCCTTAGATTAGGATTCCAACACATATTTGGGGAGGGGGGCCCACAATTCAATCTCCAATCTGTAACAGCAACCATGGACTATATGAATCTGACATTGTTAGACATTCTTATCATCTGTCTGGATGAAGATCATATTTTCTAAGTTATATAGCAGAATCTGACAAGTAGATCTGAATCCATAAAGATGACAAGGAAATTGATTATAATTGGGTTATAAATCATGTTATCTCCTTGTCTACAGTTTGCCTGCTGTTGTTGTTGTTAAGTGCCATCGAGTCGGTTCCGACTTATGGAGACCCTATAAAGGGTTTCCAAGGAGTGGCTGGTGGGTTTGAACCACCAATCTTGTAATTATCAGTCCAATGTTTATCCTACAGCTCCACATCCCATACTAGCTGTTTCTGTATAACAATATTATCACAAACATAGAGGCTAAAAACAATACACATTTATCATCTCAGTTTCTGTGGTCAGCAGTTTATTTGGGTTTTTGCAAGGCTGCAAACAAGTGTCAACTGGGGCTGGGTTTTCACCTGAGGCTTGCCTGTTGCAGGATCTACTTTCAAGCACACGTGGTTGCTGGCAGCATTAGAAGATTTCCTGGCTGAGGAAACACTCAGCTTTTTGCTGACTTTCAATAAGAAGTTTACTTTAGTTCCTTTACAGCATGACAACAGACTCCCAGAAATATAGACATTATGTAATGTCATCATGTTCATCTTGTCATGTTTGCCATAATATATTTGTTAGAAGCAAGTCACAGGTCCTTGCCTACACTTAAGGAGAGAGGATTAGGCAAGACATGTGGAGGCGGGGTTCAAGGGGCAGGCCAACTAAAATCTGGATGATCTAAGTCTAGGAGACAGTGCATCTCAAGACTTGAGCAGTTTTCTTGGGAACAAGGCAGCAGAGGCAGCCTCTCCTATGGCCAGTAGGAGGATTTCTTAAAAGAAGCAGAATTTCTGGAGCTGGTTGAATGACAGAAGAGAAGCAGTTTGGTAGACTTCTTGGGAAGGATGTTTTCCATAAGTAGTTTGGGAGACAGCAAGGAATGGGAATGGGAGGACTCCCACTTGTCTTTTGTATGCAATTTGTTGACCTTGGGGCCCAGCCTTCCCAGGAGATTTTTCCCCTTCTCTTGCAGGTGTGGCAGTGTGGAGGGAAGATCGAGGTCTTACCCTGTTCTCGGATTGCTCACCTAGAGAGACACCACAAGCCCTACGCCTTGGATCTGAGCATTGCTTTGAAGCGCAATGCTTTGCGAGTGGCCGAAATCTGGATGGATGAATATAAACACATGGTCTACTTGGCCTGGAATGTGCCTCTTGAGGTTTGTCATGAAACTGAATGAAGCAGGGAATAACAAAGGAGGAGAAGATGGTGTGAATGGTAGGGAATGGGAAGAAATGCTACCAAGTGCTATCCTAGCCCTAAAGAGTCTTCGTAAGGTTCTGATGGTGTGATAAAATGGCACCTAATATGGAGTCCAAGGAGCTCTGGTAGCGTAATGGTTATGAATCGGGCTGCAAACCACAAGGTCAGCAGTTTGAAACTACCAGCTGTTCTGTGGGAGAAAGATGAGGCTTTCTGCTCCTGTAAAGATTTACAGCCTCGGAAACCCTGTACAGGGTCGCTATGAGTTGGAACCGACTCCACTGCACATAACAACACCAATATGGAGTCCTGGTGTGGTGCTGTGGGTTAATGCACTGAACTGCAAAGTCAGTTTGAACTGCAAGGTCGTCAGTTCAAGCTCACCAGCCACTCCTTGGAGACCGTATACAGGGTTGCTATGGGTTGAAATTGACTCGGCAGCACTTAACAATAACAGCAACGTAGTAGGTATTATTTTCATTATTCTAACTTTACAGATGAGGAAACTGAGGTACAGATATTTGAAAGGAACTTTCAAATAATATGAGGGGGATCCAGAAAGTTTGTGGAAAATGTAATGAATGGAACTTTTCCATGAACTTTTTGATGTTCCTTCATACAGATAGTAAGTGGCAGAATCAAAATTCAAATCTAGGAAACTTAGCTTCTAGATGCCAGAGTCTTTGCCACTCTGCTGTATGGGGAGTCCTTGCTTGGGGAGGGTAGAGCTGAACATAAGGAATTTACTGTCTCCAAGAGACCTAGCATGGCAGGCAGGGGTGTATGGTATTAGGAGGAGGGGCAGGATGAACGTGAATAAGGGTGACCTTCTGGGCTGAGACCACCTGAGGTCAGAGTGACATACTGTGTGTGGCCTGTTCCTGAAACTATGACTCTGGGTTAAAAAATGTCGAGGTGTGTTTTGGGATATAGGAGGCATACTCTTCCTCTCTATCACAGTAGATCCTAAAGGAGCTTCCAGGATGCCAGAGAGTCAGAATGGTGGGGAGCCTGTGCAATGTGTCCACAAGAGAATGCCAAGAAGAGTGATGGGGGCCAGCAGCTAGGTTAAGTAGCTGCTAGCACTGTGGTTGAAGAATATAATAATGTGCAGAAATGGCTGAGCCTCCCTCCTAATGTCAAAGTCATCAGAGTCTTCTCCTAACAACCCAAGATGCCATTAACCTCCTACAGTCAGCTTGTTGCTTGAAGAGATTTATAGGAAATTATTCTGATGTCTCAGTATACTAAAGAATGCTAGGCAAACAAGTACCCCTCCAGGAGATCGCTGGTTGTTTTTACCTCTGTGGAGTTATATTTGTGAATGTGCCCAGCTCTAAAGCAAATTGCCCCTAAATAGTAAACCCTCAACTCCTCCAAAGGAAAATGAACCCTGACCGCAGATTCTGAGAGGAAGGCAGATGCACAAATGGTGTCAGCATTCCTGTTTCTAGTTTGCCTCATTAGTGTTCTTTCATTTCATTCTCCCAAAGTATCACTTTTAGAAAACCTCCTCTAATCTCCAAATCTGCTGCCAGCATGTGTTTTTGAAGAGCTTTTTCTGGTCATCATGAGGAATATTTTGTAGTATATTGATGTAAATATTGTCTACAACAGGAACAGTCTGAGTCAGCCTGTTACTGACGAGAAATAAACCCATGTGGCTCTACTATGGGGGCCTGGCAAGTGTTTTGAAACCAGCAGAAGTTGCTAGGACTCAAACTTTTCCCACTTTTCCTGGAAAACTATAAAATACCAAGGTTACCTTACAGGAAACCAGGAAAATACCTAGTTCCCTTGTGAGAGGTCCAATCTTGTTGGTGGGGTCAGGGTGGTTACACTTAAACTCTTGGTGTTTTATTTACAGAACTCTGGAATTGATTTTGGAGACATTTCTTCCAGAAAGGCACTCCGGGAGAAACTAAAATGTAAAACTTTTGACTGGTACCTGAAAAATGTTTATCCACTCCTGAAGCCAATCAGTAGTATTGTGGGCTACGGAAGAGTATGTATTATGAAAGTGTATTTTAGATTTTAACTGCTTGATTGTAAAAGACAGTGAACCCTAAATCATACTGTGGCTCGGGTGAGGGGTTATAAAGACCACCCTGCTTAAGAGTCTCTTCCTACCCCTATACTCTTTCCTTGGCTGTTTGCCCTGGGACCTTCTCAGTTCCTTTTCCTCTCTTGCCTCCCCAGTCCTGATCTTTTTCTTTCTGCCTCGATGTCTTTGACTTTTCAAAGTGCACCTCTCTCAGTTTCTCAGCTAACTTGGGTGTTTGCCTCACTCACCTGAACTCTAGCATGGACACCCTTTTCCTAGATGAGATATGAGGGTCTGAGTTGGGTGTGTGTTCCCATGAAGTAGGCATCACAGAGCCCCCTTCACTTCAGTATTCATGTTTCCTAATACTTAGAAAATGGTGGCTGGGACCCCAGCCCTCTACGCTATTCATTATGCTATTCTGGTGATGTTGGGGCACTGGGGGAAAATGTGGGGCTGGGAGTCCTCTGTCTCTGCCGCTTTACAATAGTGTTGTGGTGTGTTTTGCTCTTTCAGATGAGAAACGCTTTGGATGAAAGTATCTGCCTCGATCAAGGGGCAGTACCAGGCAATACCCCTATCATGTATTACTGCCATACATTCAGCCCACAGGTATTTTCCACAAGCTTCCCGATCCCCACAAGGTGAAACCTGCTGTGGTTTAGCCCTTGAAGACCTTTGCTAGATTTAGAGTTGGCGTTTGATGATGGTGAGACAAGAATTGCTCATCAGTGGGTCAAGAGGAAGAGTGAAGCCCAAGCTGTACTTGTAACAAAGGACTTCTTGGTTCATTCCAAATGTCATGGCAAAATGGTGCCATTTCAGGCACAGAGAGGAGAGGTAGAAAGTCTATGCTCTGTTGCACCCATTCTTCATGGTGACGTTTTCATTAATAATCACATCCAGTCCCTTCCTCTTCTTTTTCTCCCTCTACGCCCACCACCTTTCCACGTCAATCAGTGCACATTCTTTTTGAGCCTTGGTGGCACCGTGGGTTTGCCATCGGGCTGCTATTTGAAAGGTCAGCAGTTCAAACACACCAGCCACTCTGAGGCAGGTATGTGAAGCTGACGGCTCCAGTAAAGCTTTATAATTTTAGAAATCCTTTATGGGGTTACTGAGTCCAAATCAATTCAATGACAGTGGGTTTTGGGGTCTCCAGGAAGGTGGACCAGTGAAGGTACCTGTGGCATCTTCTGTAGAGAAAGCACCAGTGAACTAGAGAAGGGACAGGCTGAACCAAAGGAATGGAAGAAGTTGGTTACCAACTGGAAGACACAGTTTTTTCTTCCCTGAGAATAGTTACATCTATCATCTTTCTTTGCTTGTTGCCCTCAAATAAACCTTTAAAAAACATGATATTGCTTTTTTGGTGAAAGCAAATATACATATGAGGGGAATCCTGGTTTGGCACTGGGGATTAATGTGTAGGCCTACAAGGTCAATGATTTAAGCTCACCAGCTGTTCCTCAGAAACCCTATACAGGATTGCTATGAGTCAGAACGACTCAATGACACTTAACAACAACAGCATATGAGGAGTCCTGGTGTGGCACTATAGAATAAGCACTGGATTGCTAACCACAAGGCCAACAGTTCAAACTTATCAACCACTCCTCAGAAACCTATGATTCGGGGTTTAAGAATGTTGATATGAGTCAGAATTGACTTGACAACTCTTATCAACAACATACATATGAGGGGGACTTCAAAAGTTTGTGGAAAAATGGAATTAAAAGATTCTGAAACTTTTCCACACGCTTTTTTAAAAAAGGTTTTATTGTGAATTATATGAGAGTTTACATGGGAGAACATCAGCCTTACATTCATCCAATCATATATCACTTCACCGCCATGATTACAATCCCCTCCATGCATCATCAAACAACAAAGGGTATACCCCACAAGCCCGCCCCCCAGTTGTCAGCACACAGCCCCTCTCCCTCTCTGGACCCAGAGTCCCCAGCCACTCCATCTCTCCACATCATCGTCTCTGGCTCCATCTCTGGCGTCACTGCTTCTCTGGGTAGGGTCCCACACTCCACTTCTCTCCTTTAATGGTCCCAGGGACTCTACTCCTAGACTACAAAGTCAACCACTTCCCTCCTTTTGCTACAAAATGTCCACTTTACATTTCCAACCCTCACAATCAGTCCTAATAGCAATTATTCACTATTGTACCACAAGATTCTTATTCCTATCTCCTTTCATCAGCCCTGTCCAGACAGATTGGATACCACTCAGTGGAGATTCTACCTTTCCCCACACCCTCTGGATGTAGGCTCCCTGTTGAAAGCTTGTAAACCAGTCACTTTATGCCTTTGGGTTGTTGTTGTTATGTGCCGTGGAGTTTGTTCCAACTCATAGAGACCCTACGCAGGGTTTCCGAGGCTGTAAATATTTATGGAAGCAGAATGCCTCATCTTTCTCCCATGGAACAGCTGGTAGTTTCAAACTGCTGACTGTAAGATTAGCAGCCTGATTTGTAACCATTACACTAGCAGAGCTCCTTAGAATGGTTAACTAGAGCCATAAAAATGACCTGTAAACAGCACAGACTGGTAACGTTCTAGAATTCCTGTAGGTAGCAATGCCAAACTGTAGTGAACAAGATATGCATTGTGTTGTTGTTAAGTGCCGTCAAGTCAGTTCCAACCCATAGCGACCCTGTATAGGGTTTCCTAGGAGCAGCTGGTGAGCTTGAACTGCCAGCCTTGCAGTTCAAACAGCTTTGCAGTCTGGTGCATTAACCCACAGTGACATACCAGGACTCCAAGATATGCATTACAGTACCAAAAACTCAAATAGCATACGGTAGATAATGAAATGAATACTGGAAAGAATTTACTCTAATTTCAAATTGTGCTGTAGATGGGCAAAAGTTAAAAGAAAAAGAAAAATTTGGGTAGCTACTGTTTAAGTTGCCCATCCCTGTGAACCCTGTCCATATGCTTTTTGAAATTACTTCCTGTTGTTCAATGACACTGATAACATTTTTCCTCAATGTATCAATATTCTCATTATTTCTGTTCTAATTGGTGCATTTCCATTAATCTAGGTCCCCCTCCTGCCCACAATATCTCTTACTTTCTCATTTAAATTTAGGGTCTTAGATAGATTTTTTTTTTTTTTTTTGAAGAAGCATAGTACTCACAGGTGATATTACTTGATATTACTGTAATTTAGTTGAAAAGTGCCTTCTGGGAGTGGTTCCAGTTCAAAGTTTAAGGGGTACTTCAGGGTTATAGTCTAGGTGGTCCCTCAGGTCTCTGTTGGCTCGAAGGAGCTCTTTGAGGTATTATTCATGATAGGTATTATTTTCACTTGTTGTTGTTGTTAAGTGCCATGGAGTCGGTTCCGACCCATAGCGACCCTGTACAGGGTTTCCAAGGCTGTAAATCTTTACGGGAGCAGAAAGCCTCATCTTTCTCCCCCGGAGTGGCTGGTAGTTTCGAACTGCTGACCTTGTGGTTTGCAGCCCAACTCATAACCACTATGCTACCAGAGCTCCTTTTCACTTAGCAGATGAAAACAATGAGACACACAACCAATCTATTCACCCAAATTCCCACAGTAGAGTAGTGTCAGACTTGAAATTTCAAAGTTTTCCTGACCGTAGACCTCTAACTGGGGCTTATAGCTGGCTTTTTTCTTCAAAGACACACTTCCTCATGCCCTGAAAGCTGTGGTTCTGTGGGAGCCCTTGTAGAGAAGGAAGCAGGCTCGTGCCTCGTCCCATGCCTGGTCTTCTTTCTGGAATAATCTGGGGCTGGGGGAAAAGAAGAAGAGGTGACTTTGTTACCCAGGGAATAATAGTGCTCCTCATGAAGGGACATTAGGGGCCAGAGAGCAGTCTTCAGGCTCCCTAGGAGGTTCAGGGCCCCAGTGACTGTGTCATGGCAGACTTTGCTCTTTTAGAATGTCTACTACCACCAAACGGGGGAATTCTACGTGGGAGCACTGATTGCAGAAAAAAATACTGAGGATCGCTGTTTGACTGACCCTGGGAAAGGGGAGAATCCCACCTTAGAACCATGCTCCAAAGCAGCCTCAAATGGACTGAACATATATTGGGATTTTAAACTGGTAAGTTGTGTTTTTTAAAAGATAGATATATTCAAATATACTATGAGGGGTTCAGATCTGATTTGATGGTATTTTAGAAATATTCGTTTTTGTGACAGACTGGAAACAGGGACCTGATGTGACACACTGAGTCTATTGGCTAAGGCAGGGTTGCTTATGAAGCAGGACTATTGGGGCTTAAGTGTTAAGTTTAATAGTGAAGAGTTGGGTTTCAATCTTAGCTCAGTTGCCTTAAACAAGTTTCTTAACGTCTCTGAGGTTCAGTTTCTATACTTGTAAAATGAAGATAGTAATACAATGATCATTTGGGAGGATTCCATTCGATAACGTGTGAAGAATTTAGCGTAGTGCCTGACACATAGAAATTGCTCAATAAATATTAGTCATTGTGATTTGTTTTATTATTCATGATAATCAAAGAGCCTGGAGCGTTGGGCTCAGACTGTTTTTGTTGTGAAGTGCCATTGAGTCGGTTCCGACCCATAGCGACTCTGTATAGGGTTTCCAAGAAGCAACTGGTGAGCTCAAAGCATGGAACTTGTGGTTCAAACCAACTTTACAGGCCAGGGCATTAACCCACAGCGCTACACCAGGACTCCCGGATGAGACTAAGAGGATAAAATGTAATGTGGTGCTGTGGATCAGCAATGGACTGTAAAACCACAAAGTGAGCAGTTCAAACCCCACAGCTGCTCCTTGGAAACCCTATACAGGGTTGCTGTGAGTTGTAACGGACTCCACAGCATTTAACAACAACACAGTGAAAGTCAAGTACCCCTAATGACTCAGTAATTAAAGTACTCATCTGCTAACTGAAAGGTAAGAGGTTTGAATCCACCAGCTGCTCTGTGGGAGAAAGATATTGCAATCTGCTTCTGTAAAGATAATTGCTGTGGAAACCCTATGGGGCAGTGCCTCTCTGCCTTACAAGGGTCACTGTGAGTCACAATTCACAGTAATAGATTTGTTGTAAAAGTCCTGCCTTAAACTTCAACATCAAATGACCATGAAAAGAGTGGAGGAAATTTGGCTTTGTAGCCTTTTATGTGACAATGCCATGAAGAACTTGGCTGACCACAATCTACGTGTAAATGAATAGTGAGAAAAGACTGCATTCTTAGGCCATATTGGTATGAGTGTGATGTTCTGATCAAGGGAGACAATACTTTGCCAGTAGCCAGAATAAGTTGGTATTGTTTTAGGTCCAGGTGTTACATTTTAAGGGACATAGAGAACCCTAACTTTTTCATGCTAATGATCCCTTTGAGAATCTTCTGCTTGCTTTGGACTCTTTCCAAGAAAACATACATATGCATCTCTATGCCAAATTGTGCTTCCAACATCAGAGCATTTTTGTATCCTAAATGAAGTCTCTTTGAACTAGACCAAAGCAACTAGAAGGAGAAAGGTGAGCTCTTCTTAGTCTTTCTGCCTTAAACTTTGAGATTCAAGTTTTATTGGACAGCACATAATTCTATAAAAGCTTATGTGCCCTTTTACCTTAGACCCTTTTGCACATTGTCTCTTCTCCCCACAGCTCTTTCCTTGGGTAATTGTGGAGTGTTCTGTTAACCTTAAGTATCATCTCCTTCAGGAAGATTTCCATGACCCCGCAGGACTAGAATGGGTGGTTCTTCTGTGTGCTCTCAGGGGCCTTGAGTAATCTTTCTCTTCAGTTCTCTTACAATTGACTGTCCACCTGCTTCCTTGCAGCTCTAGGCTGTGAGCCTGAGGCAGGGCCTAGGTTTTCTTCATTGTTTTAGCTCTAGCATCTTGTACAGTGCCTGGAACATTGTAGACATTCAATAAATGGTCGTAGAACACATGGAATATTGGAAGACCTGGAGATAATAGCTTGGAGAGGCAAACCTAGAGATGAGATGAGCTATCCTCATGAGATGAGGGAATATGCAAGTCTGTTGCCTATAGGAGGGCAGAACTAAGACTAAAAACCAAAACCAAACTAGCTGCCATTGAGTTGGTTCTGACTCATGGCGACCCCATGTGTGTCTGAGCAAAAACTGTGCTCCATAGTGTTTTCAGTGACTGAGTCTTTCAGAAACAAATCACCAGTACTTTTCCTCCCAGGCACTCTGGGTGGACTTGACCCTCCAACTTCTGGTTAATAGCTGAGTGCAGTAACCATTTACACCACCCAGGGGTGCATCTTATGCGTAATTACGAGGGTGCTTCAAAAACTTTGTGGATAAATTGTTATTTTTCCATTCACTTTTCCACAAGGTTTTTGAAACCCCCGTGTATTCTGGCTTAATGTAAGAAGGGAAAATTTCTAAGGACTTAACAGCTATCCAAAGGGGTTTAGTAAGGGGAGGGACTCTGTCAGTGGTAACTATCTAGAAAAATATGCCTAAGCATCTGTTGATGTCCTTAATGGTATCCTTTGTGTGCAATCAGTACTTAAAAGTTTGGTTTAAAATAAAAAACAAAAACCATATATATATATATATATATATATATATTCAACTTGTTTAGGTTATAAATGAAAGAATTACACTTCTATTTTAAGGAAATTCATTAAACCAATCTTGCCATTTTATCTATGAGTCTAGCAAGTTTTTAACAATCACTATATAAGGGGATTTTATAATTTAATCAATTAAATTTCCTTAAACATTACAAGCTGTGTTTATAAATTTAATACATTAACTTTTCTTTCTTAAGAAATCCAGAGGTGTGACTTGAGAAGTAATGATTCTTAACACTTTCAAAAATCTTTAAAAAGTTAGTAAAAAGTTCAACATAAAATCACAAGTTTCAACTGTACCTTTTAAAATTGGAATCACAAGCCTAATCTATAAAACACTCATTTTCTTGAACATTGAAAGTAAATAGTAAACATATTGATTTAACATATATGTTGTTGTTTTTTGTTAAGTGTGGTTGAGACAGAACTGACTCATAGAGACCTTATGTAGGGTTATTGAGGAGTAACTGGTGAGTTTGAACTGCTGACCTTGCTGTTAGTAGTCCAGTGTTTATCCTATAGTACAACACAAGGAATCCAACATATATACTTAATCCTAAATCTACCAAGAATTAGATACTTTACTATTGTTCATAAAGAAACAATTATGAGAGTATGACAGACAGACAGACATGGGGAGGTAACTTATAGAATAGAGGTTTTGCTGGTGTGAGACCTAGAGGTACAGGACATCCAGGGAAGTGTTGTCATCATTACAATGGTCATGCCAGGCCCCTTTTTTATGGTATGTCAAGAACTCCAAAAATGAAAGAGCGAGGTGATCCTATAGCTTGTGGTGTATTATTTGATTTCATCTCAGTTTTAAGTCAGTTCATCCCATTTAATGTTTTTATATCCATTTTATCTCTGGGACCACCATTCTTCCAGATATTAACTTGATATGTGATTGAACCTACGATCCCTCTTGTGTTGTTTACTTTATTGTTGTTATGTGCCATCGAGTCGGTTCCGACCCATAGTGACCCTGTATAGGGTTTCCGAGGGTGTAAATCTTTACGGGAGTAGAAAGCCTCAACTTATAGACACAACTTATAAATTATTTATACTAAAAAGTAACCAAAAATATTCTCTCTGAACTGAGAGGGAGGCGAGACTAGATAATCCCTTTGTTTTCTTCAACTTCATGCCTTTATATTTCCAGTCACCCAGAGGGCACTGTGTCTTCTTGGGACCACAAGAGAGATAATGCCAGTGACTGAGGCTGGTGCCAGAGTGAAGAGATCAGGCATGCTTGAGGCAGCTGGACTGAGAGATGGGTTGAGAGTAGAGATGCTACTGAAATATTGGTGTTGTGAAGCACCGTCAAGTTGATTCCGACCCATAGTGACCCTGGATAGAGTTTCCAAGGAGCAGCTGGTGAGCTTGAACCACCAACCTTGCAGTTCAGACGACTTTGTGATCTAATGCATTAGCCCACAGTGCCACACCAGGACTCTGCTGCTGAAATAGGCAAGGGTTTGAAAAAAAATTATTTTCCAAATTAAAAAAAAAAAAGCAGATAATCCTTTTGAGGAAAAAAAAAAAGTAACAAATAAAAAGCAAGAATCTTAAATCTCTAGCAGGCAAACACCCCCAAACCCAAAGTAAAAATGAAAATGTTTGATCCAGATGAACTAATTGCAAAAGAAACAAGAAGCGAAGAGTTTTTGCAGGATATGGGGAACACTGTCAAAGCACATGTCCTGTGGCAGTTGAGAGAATAGAAATAAAGGTCACTGAATTTGTTTAAAAGGTCACAATAGATCACAAAGCCAAGATTTGCTTAGCACATATACTGCTCGTGGCACTGGGTTATGTATGTATGCATTATTGGTTTAGTCCTTATAAAAAAAAATCTTAGAAGCATTATCATTAGATTCTCTTAACTATGAAGTAATTAAGGCACAGAGAAATCAAATCATTTGCCTACAGCCACACAGCATCGTAAATGTTAGCTGAGGACTCAAACACAGAATCTTAATCCCTGTGTATTATTATCTCATTGCTTGGGAAGTCTGACTGTGAAAAAGAACAAAAACACTGAATGGTAGTTGAAACAGATGGGAGTAAAAGTTTTTCTTTTTTCTAATACTGTGATTTTTGGCAATCTTTAAGGGCTGTAGAAAGGAAATCTACAAAGAGGTAGCAAAAAAAGAAAGCTATTAGACAGCAAATGTGGTTTCTCTTTTACTATGGATGGCTGAGACTCAGGGACAGAAGGGACTGTCTCCACGATCACTCAGGGTATTCAGGGGAAGGCGTAGATGGACCAGAAGTGCAGTCCTCATGACAAAGTGACAAATGAAGCACTTTAGTGAGAATGAGTGTTAAGGGATAGGAACTGAGGGATAAAATCTTGCCGAGGATAGCTAGCAGAGGACCCTTAAGATGTAGGCCAAGCTCCGAAATCAGACAACTGTTGGCACATTTGTGGCCAGACTTGCTCAGTTAGTGAACCCTTTCCTGGAATCTTCTGTGGGCTGAAAACAGGAGTCTGAGGAAAGAAAATTTCTTGAACCTGTGGAGTCACCCTGAATGACAGATGTCAGAGGCGCCCCCAAGGAATTGGGGAGGATATATAGGGAGTTCACTATGGTCAGCATTAGGTAAACCACCAGTTGTTCCATGGGAGAAAGATGAGACATTCTGCTGCTGTAAAGATTTACAGCCTCGGAAACCTTATGCAGGGTTGCTGTGAGTTGGAACCAACTCCACAGTACATAATCACCACCACCACCAAGGGTTGCCAGGGGCTGTTTGTGACTATAAGAGATAAGAGGCAGGGAGGTGATGGTTACAGAGGGATCAGGCATTTGGAGATCTTAGCTGCAGCCCTGCTTGGTGTTAAAAACAAAGCAAAACAGAACTTGGTGGCAGGTTGTCTGAAGTGGAACAGTGAGACCAGGGTTTCTAAGTGGTCATCCAAATTGATGCTGTTAGCTTTAAGAATGATAGCAGACAGTAGGTTGTATAAAGAGATAAGAACTTTACGAAAGCATTAAGATATTATATGAGCTCCTCAAAGGGAGGTATTGTGGTGTGGGGAGTAGGAGAGAGAGAAGAGGGCAGGGCCTGGAGAGATAGTGGTTTGCTCAGGTGTCATGATCTTCAGTTGTTGAGCCAAGGAGATAGGCAATAAAGAAGAGCTCAGCATGCCTGGAGGCGGCACATGGGGCCACAGAGAAGGATGACCCTTCTTCACCCCATTAGACTAGGTAGAGGCAGAGACAAATGAACAGTTACCACATAACTTCAGGTTCAATAAATATTAACCATAACCCTATCTTATAGATGAGGAAACTGAGACTCAGGTTAAGTAAATGGTTTGTGTGGGGCGGAGCAGGGGTTCAAACCCAGACTTTTTAGCTGTAAAACCCATAATGTTCCCTCTAGTCAACTTTGTTAAAGCTCCCACAATACAGAGAGGCAGGAAGGTGTTATTCAAAGAGGTGAATATGAATGAGAGACTATGTATCACTTCTGCTTCAATCCCTTAACAGAACCTCAAAGAGAGAGGAAACAGATAGTGAGGTTTTCATAGACTAAGAGGTAAAGACATGGAAAGGATGGTCAAGTGGAGAATGTCCTTGACTCTTTATGACTCCGTCAAGGCATGACAGTCTTGGGAGAGGCTGATGATCTTGAGTGGAGCCACACTGTCTAGCCCTTACCACAAAGCATCAGTGACTCCAGATCTGTGGTTAGTTTGCCTTGGGGCTGATAGAGAAGGCCCTGGGTGATCTGCTTCTATGCTTTCCTTCATTTTCTGCTCTGGGTGACTTATGAAGGATTAGGGGGCTCATCAAGTTTGTCTGTGACCACAGTCGGGAGAGTGAGAGTAAAGGAGCATGCACCTTCAATACTTTGACTCTATCTCTCCTCTCATCTAGGGAGGAGCCGTCATAAATAGAGCCACCAAACGGTGTCTGGAGATCAAGAAGGGCACTTCAGGTACCTATGTGCTTGTGCTCCAGACCTGCACTGCACAGATGTGGAAAATACAGTATGTCATCAGAAATTGGGGCACAAACTAATGTCCAGGCAAACAATGGAGCCATCTGAAGGGCTCTTGGATGGTTTCTACTCCCAACACTGCTCAAAGTGGAAGAGGCGGAGAGACAGAATGTGTGTGTGTTCACTGGTACTTCAGCCTAGACTATACAGGATGTGGGGAAGACATGCTTGCCCATGTGCCCTGTTGCCCTGCTGGGGAAGCAGTGGAAATGACACCATCTGCCCCACAGCTTCCCTTGGGAGTTCATGATACGAACTCAGTGCCGTTCTTGGACAATCCTTGAAATAACTAACATCATCTGGCTGCACGTGGAAAGAAAAACAGGACGGCGGAAGTTTACCTTTGGCTTCTGCCAACACTGTTTAGTCTTCATTCCTAACAACTCCTATTGGCACCTGCCCCATACTTCCTCCCCTACCCAGCTCATCTGCTCTGAGACTCTCCAGTCTGTGTTGGGGCATTTTATGGGAAAGGTTGGGTTGTCATCAGACTGGCCACTAATTCAGATAGCATCAAGTCACCTGAAGATCTCAATTGGACCTTCCTTAAAGGTGTGGAGCCACTCCTACCCTCCTTCTTTGACGGTCCTGACAAATGTAGTAAACAGATGAAGCAATTCTGGAAGAATCCTTACACACTTTCTCCATTCTTTACCCACACTAGTTTTATTTGGACTGCTCATATTTTTCATACCAAAAGGATTCTAGAGGATGAGTATAGAGCAGGTATTTCAGATAAACCCAGTTGGCTCTGGGGATGCTGTAGGATAAGCACTTCACTGCTTGCTAGCTACAAAGTTGGCAGTTCAAATCCACCAATCTCTCTGTGGGAGAAAGATAAAGCTTTTTGCTCCCATGGATTTATGGCCTGGAAACCCTACGCAGGGTCACTAGGAGACAGAATCAACTTGATGGCAGTGTTTCTCTCCTCTCCCCCCACACCCCAAGGGGCTGTGCACTGAGACAAATAGAAAGATCAGGTCCAGCTGAGTCTGTCTTTAAGGAAATTGTAACATGTAGTAGACTTGACTATTTGTTTCCTCTTCCTACCGCTGTGAAGCATGGTGGAAACGAGACTGAAAACAAAGTGATATTACTAATTGGGGCACAAAAAAAGGTATGGTGTTGTTGTTAAGTGCTGTTGAGTCGCTGCTAACTCATAGCTACCCTGCATAGGGTTTCCAAAGAGCGATTGGTGAGCTTGCACTATTGACCTTGAGGTTCAAACCGACCTCGCACATTAACCCAATAAGTAAAAATTGAAAACTAGGAGTCACGACTGCTGGCCACTGGCTAAATCCCTTTCCCTAGTTGGTGATTTGGGAAGATAGTTCTAGGGTTGGCAGCCCTGGACAAGGTCCTAGAGGTTGGTGGAAATGGGCGGTGTGATGGGAGAGGGCAGACTGACAGGTGTGTGTGTGTGTGTGTTGTGCTGTGGGCTTTTTTAAGTATGCTCTTAGGGCCATTGTGTGGAGGACCTCATTTTACTCTTTATCTCATGTTAGGGCTGCCTGATTATAATTCTAGAAATCACTTGGCTTCCTGTAAGCATTAGACAGGTAAGACGTTGATAAATTAGCACAGGATTAAATCAGCTCAGATTTTTATAAGTGAGCTTTTAAAACTATATAAAACCATATGTTACAGCTTGATAAGACTTCTGCAAAGGTACCTTGGCCATATCAAACACTACAGCATTACCATAGATAAGATTTTATTATGGAAACAAATGAAATAGCAGGATAAATGTTAAACAAATGTGTAACTTCCAGCTTCTGCCTAGCATATTAAAAGAAAAATATAATTCAGAGCAAGGTTTTAAAAAAGCATGTAGCCAACAGAAAAATGGGCAAATGACAGAAATAGATTTTACACACACCCCCACATACATGGTCAAATCAGAAGTATTGCTAATAGGGTTCTAGTTCAGATACATATGGATTTGTTTGAAATAAAATATATTTAAACATGTTTCTGTGATCAGTGGATGGCTGTAGACAGGTTCTGTTAGTAATGCACTTGCCTTAGTCTCATGAGAGTTCTTAAAAACAAAAAAGTCCAGTGAAAACAGTGGCTTCTGAAGGGAACTGCTGGGTCAGTTAAGTTGAAGGCAGAGAGGTCAGCTCAGAAGGCTATGGGGACTATTTTGTGGGGGACTCTAAAGGGGTAAAATCTTAATAGATTTTCTCAAAGGGCACAGGATAATCACAGGGGCTTATAAAGATGTCTTAAGGAAATTGAAAACTGCATTGATGAGGAAAAGGCCAGGAAAATTGCACCCAGAAAACTTTTTCCCATCATGACAATGTGTCTCCTTATTCTTCAAGAGTAGCAATTCAGGGAATGAGCAGAGTGATAGAAACACGGCCCTCACAAGTGTACAGACCTAGAAGGAGGATGTCATGAGAAAAAATAACTTCACATTTTAAGGTTTTTGTTTAAAAAAGGTTTATATGATTCTGTAGCAATATTTCTTACTTGCCCTGGAATACATGTATCTGCTTGTTTTTACAAAATGAAACACAAGACCATACACGGAAAACTAAAACATTGTTTATGAATGGTGGGGAAGGGGGAGTTGTGAATAGAGAGAAAGGAATGGAGATTGGGGAAAGAGAAGGGAAGTACGTAGAAGGGGTGTGACTTCTCGGAAGACAAGTTTCCTATAAGTTTGATGTTGATCACCAAGTTATATTTCACATACTCAAACACATAAGCTCAATAAGGATAGGGGAAAACAAAAAATGGAATACAAACAAAGACAAGTGAGCCTACCTATATTTTAACTGAACACACAGAATGAGCATTCTTGCGTCTTGCATCCAGATCTTGGTTTTGAGATACCATTCTCTCATAATAGAAACTAGGAGATATAGCTGATTTCATGTATTTTAACTGAATTTTTTTATGTTAAAAAGTGAAGACAATATCAAAGAAGGATGAGGACTTGCCAAAAGAACATAGCAACTATGTTAAAGGGGCTCCCACTGGATAAATCTTGGACAATTTGATCTTCAAGATAAAGCATGATCATAGCAGTTGATAATCTATAGAGTAAAATTAGAATCCATGAATCTTTACCAATGAATAAGTAAATGGGGGAGAAGGGAACATTTTTCTTTGTAATAGGATGCCAATTAATAAATGTAGAAGAAATTATGGGATTAAAAAATCACTCTTTGGCAACTACCAGAGTAAAAATTGTTTCAGACAAAGCCATCAATGAATGCTAAAATGAGTAGGTCAAAGTTTGGTGAAAAGCAGGGTTCATACGTAGTATAAAAATTATTTCCTTTGTAATCATTTACAAAGGGGGAAAGAGTAATTTTATGGTGACAAATCCTGACAGGCACCATCTTAATCGATCAGTTATGGGACAAATATATACCATGGGACTCTTGATTAATCAAGAAGAAAAAATACTGTTTCTATCATACTTCTGCAGCAAACACTGAACCTGGATCTGATATTCAGGAGCATCATGAAACCAAAAAGTTGAAGCACATCCTTCAGAGTAAATGATCTGTACACTTCAAAAATGCCAAGTCTTGAAAGTCTCTAAATAATGAGGAACTGTCCCATTTAAAGGAGACTAAAGTGGGGCACTGGTGTGGCACTGGTGTTAACGCGCCAGACTGCAAAGCTATTTGAACTGCAAGGTTGGTGGTTCAAGCTCACCCAGCTGCTCCTCGGAAACCCTATACAGGGTCACTATGGGTCAGAACTGACTCAACGCCACTTAACAATAACCACAATAAAGTGTGGCACAGCAGGGACAGTGCATTGGACCGCAAGGTTGGTGGTTCAAACCTACCAGCTACTCCTCAGAAACGCTAGACAGGGTTGTTATGAGTCAAAACCAACTCAACAGCCCTTAACAACAATCACCACCAGGAGACATAACCGTAATGTGGAATCTTGGATAGGGGAAATTCAAATAACATTCATTGATAGATAATAGTACTGTATCAATGTTATTTTCCTAATTTTGATTATTGTATTGTGGTTATATAAGAGAAGGTCTTTGATTTTAGGAAATACACACTGGATTAATTAGGAGGAGGGTAATATCTTGGAGATGGATAGAGAGACAGATAGAAGGTATATAGATATATTATAGATAGATACATAGGTGCATAGGTAGATAGTAGGTTGTTGTTGTTATGTGCTGTGGAATCGGTTCCGACTCATAGCGACCCTGTACAGGGTTTCCAAGGCTGTAAATCTTTATGGGAACAGAAAGTCTCATCTTTCTCCCACGGAACAGCTGGTAGTTTCGAACTTCTGACCTTGAGGTTTGCAGCCCGATTTGTAACCACTATGTTATAGTAGATAGATAGATACACACACACGCACACACAAGGGGACTTCAAAAAGTTTTTGGAAAAATTCCATTATTTTTTCTTTCCATTTTTCCATAAATTTTTTTAGGCCTCCTTACAGATACAAAGGAGCTCTGGTGACACAATGATTAAGCACTCAGCTGCTAACCCAAAGAATGGCTGAACATCTACTATTTCTTTTTGGTACAGTGACTCTGTGTATACCTTCCATCTTTTTTGGTGCCTTCTGCATCATTCATAATTTTACCCATGGAGTCTTCAATATTGCAACTTGAGGCTTGAGTTTTTATGTTCAGTTCTTTCAGCTTGAGAAATGTTGAGTGTTCTTCCCTTTTAGTTTTGTAAATCCAGGTTTTTGCACATTTCATTGTAATATTTGAATTTGTTTTCTTGAGCTACCCTTTGAAACTTTCTGTTCAGCTCTTTCATAGCCTCAGTTTTTACATTAGCTTTAGCATTTATACGTTGGTGAGTAAATTTTAGAGTTTCTTTTGACATCCATTTTGGTCTTTACTTCCTTGTTTTTTTAATGGCCCTTTTCTTTCTTCCTGTATGATGTTCTTGCTGTCATCCAAAAGTCTTATGTGTAATAACAGGCTTGGTCCTTAGTGTCTAATGTAACACATCTGTTTTTGAGATGGTCTCTAAATTCTGGTGGGATCAGTTCAAGGTCATAT